TGGAAATGGTAAATATGAGTATAACTGACACACAAATGTGTCATCTATGCAGCTAGCAGGAACTAGAATTAACTAACTAATCCTACCTTGTAATAATTGTATAATAGTCTTGCCAAAGGGTGTGTGTTTGAAATCAAAATACAATAGTCCGTGTAAAGCGCCGTGGCTGTAATCCACTTTAAGCCCATATGGCACGAGAGGAGAATGTTTTCCAGCTGTCTATTCAGCTTAAGGCAATCAGCGTCTGTGAAACATTAAAGGACTGTCTTTGCCCTGATACATTCTTTTGTTTTGATTTATGCAAAGAACAAATGCTGTTAGAAAAAGGAATTTAAAATAAATTTGTCACAATGCTAAGGATGAAGATAGTGTGTTATGGATCAAGAACACAAGTGCACTTTCAAAGGCGATGAGGAAGTAAAACAGGAAGTAAGGTGCAGAAGGAAATGTGTGTGTTAACATGCATCAACCATGACTGTAGAGTTTTAGTCTGAACTATCACTCATGCTGCTTAGTTAGCCAATGTTGATACAGGTCTATATGTGATGGGATTTAGTGACAGAGATGCGGTCAAGGAAGTTATTTTGTGTTGATCTTGAAGATGAATGATGGCACACAGTCGGTCCTGTTCTGTTCATCTGCCCAGACTCTAGTGATCGGTGTAGGTTTTTAGAAGAGCGGGCTCAAACTTGCTTTTACTGCCTGCTTTTTAGTGTTGAAACCAAAGAGATAATCAAATAGGACTAATTTGAAATGTCAGGAAAGTAAAAGAAGAACTTGACGTCTCATTGTCTGTTCTAAAGAGGAGATGCTATGACTCCAAAGGTGGTTATTATCTTTCTGAACCAACCTGGCCTGTTTAGTTTTGATACCGATCATTGTCTCATGAACAACAAATCTCCGCTGAGCCATGAAAAGGAGTTCTCTTTTTTACTGGCGATGTCTAGAGAAAAAAGGCTGAATTTGTTTGTCAGTAAAGTTAAAAAGTTTTGTGTTCATTTCACAGTAAGATTTTTTACGAGGTTGTTTTCTTTACACGCTCAAATATTCTACATATTTTTCTTCGGCTCAGTTATCTTCCGTGCTTTCAGAACTAGTTATACTACATCGTCGAGATGAATGCATGTGCCAAGCAAAAATAGTGACGAGAATACACACTCACTTCACAGTAAGCGTGATCCAGCAGGTGACTCACGTGTGTATGCAGGCATTCAGAGTATTACAACCATTTTTTTACTAAACGGCCTGGTTTGTAAACTGGAAATTCACAACATCTCATCTGATTATATTTTCATGGTGGTCCTTAGATGAAAAATCGGTTTGCATCAGCTGCATGGATTTCATCACTATCATCATGACAGATTTTCTCATGTTTCTGTTCCACGTGCCGTTGTGTTTGTGTGCCTGAACATGTTTCCAAGCTAACGCTTTGTTGTTGTGGGGGACGTTTGGTTATCGTTCTTCACTGATTACTTGTCAGTCAGACCATCTGGAGATGCTGAGAGGTCATCCTTCCTCCTTTTTCAACCACATTTAACCCACTCTGTAACTGTTTGAGCTCTCCTCTTCCATCCCTCCCCCTTCTCCTCACAGCGGCTCAGTGCCCTGCTTGCCAAAAGGATGATGAGCAGGGGCACGAGGCTGAGCGGGCTATCACATGCCATCTGGAAGGTCAGGTGAAGATGTGCCCTCACGTTCTTCACTCTCCATTTCATTTGAACTTATTTGCGAGTTAAGAAGGATTGTCGGATGGGGTAGAAAGGGCTTACCTTGCCTGGAATGACCGTCAAGATGGTTCAAGAAATGGAAAAAGTACATGTTTGGACATTTTCACTTCCCACCAGTTAAAGTGGCTTTAATAGACATAATTACCACTTCCCACCTTGGGTTTATGATTTGGTCAATATGGTAAAAGCCAACAAGGGTTGAAATCTTTACTAATAGTCTAGAGACTGCAACCTAAAACTCTAGATGCTTGATCTAAACCAGCATACACAATGGAGGTTAAGGACCAAGAGTTTAGAGTGCATCATGGAGGGTTTGGTCTGGCTTGTGGACCTAGCTAAGTAGTAAATTAGTTTAAGTTGAAAGAGCTGAAGCGAAAGGCAAACTTCTAAGAGACGTCCCTGTGATCTGTGTAATCTGTGTTGATCTGGTTGTTGGCAAACCGATTGTAAGACGTTGATGGAAGTGTGCCAAAGTGCCGAGAGAGCACAGGCTGTTGACAATCCCACCAGATGCTTTACGATGTACAACAGAAAAGAAGTCTTAACTGTCCAAAACAATATGTGCTTTGACAGGCAACATCTTAAAGGTGTGGTTCACCGAAAAAAACTTTATTTTTATGATTATTACTAATAATAATCAGTCAGTCTGAGATTTTCATGCAGGCTGAATATGAAAAGAGTCTCCTACACCTATCTCCTGCATTAGCTTCTGATAGACAATAGAAACTTTAGGGTTTGAAAAGTCTGACAGATCTGCGTCACACTGTCACTTAACAATTATGGACTCACACATCTTGACAAAGAAGGCATTTGTTGGTTTAACGTCCGGCAAACAGCAGATAACGTCTTGGCTTGTAAAAGCTAACTAGTAGCATTAGCGACTCCACCACATGAGCAGAACTCCGCCAGGCTTGTGTTATTTGTAATGAAACAACATCAACATTGCAGAGCAAACAGAGTCAGTGATAGAGTCGTGCTGCTGTTATCCGATCTAAGACGAGATGTCCAAATATCAAGAAGAAGGCTCCAAATCCTGTCATCAGAAGCTGCTTTCTTCATTCAGGTGCATCTGAGCCCCCCTTTGTCATTACCAATTTCACAAAATTCATCTGAAATGGAAGAGTTTTCTTCAAGCTACACTGAAGAGGACGTAGTTGTCTCTGGACAAGAGGAACATATCGTAAACCATTTACAGTGGGTATGGAAAGGATGTCATGTTGAAAGATAAACCTTCAGTCCAGTCTGACATCCTGAGCCCTCTGGAAAAGGTTCTTGTCCAGGATGTCCCTGTACTTGGCTGCATTCATTGTGCATTGTATCTGCAGTATTTGATTGAATTTAAAGTTGAATCAGTTTATTTTAAAGGTAAAAGTGTTTCAGACCAGATATCTGCAGGGGTGCCCAAGCCTGGTTCTGGAGGGCCGCTATCCAGCAGGTTGTAATTTAAACCCTTTTCAACACACCTGAATTCAATCAGCAGGTGATTAACAGGCTTCTGTAGAGCCTGATGCACTGTTGCACAGGTGATTCAACCACTGAATCAAGTGTGTTGGAGCAGAGAAACCACAAAACCTGCTGGATACCGGCCCTCCAGGATTGGGCACCCCTGCTTAGAGTTACTGACAGAACACTTAAGGTCAGAAATCAAATTGCATGTGTCACACATCACTGAAGACAACAACAAAAACAGGCCTGCAGTTGCCATGTTCACTGATCCATCCGTTCTATCGCCATCTTTAGCTGTTAACCATGCACACAATAAGTTTTTCTCTGATTGTTCCAGCCCCAGTGACCAACTCAGCCACTCAGCTTCTCCCTCTCCAGCACTGCTGCAGACCTCTTTTCCTGCCCCAGGATGCAGTGTAGTGACATTCTTGCCAGCACAGGCAGACTGTCCTAATAAGTTTCGACGCTGAAGAGCTTACAAGGTAACAGCTTGCCAGGGAAAGGCAGCTGCTGTTTCCTACACTTCTCAGCTTTCTTGGGGGTGGGGGGACAACTGCAGGATGCCATGGGGGAAAAGTGGCTCTGCTGCCCTGCTGCTGCTCTGGGGCAAAGCTATCAGGCAGGCCAAAACCAGGTAGGATTAGACTTATGCTTGCTCTGCTTGGATTAACAGTTACTGCAGATTTTACTAGATTTAGAGATCACTCAGAGTTTTTTTATATTTTAATTAGATGAGACATATATTACATTTTTGCTTTTTGGAGATTATTATTTTTTTCATCTGTGTTTGACTCTCATTTAACTTAGTACCTCCCCGGTCTTCTTTCTTCACGTAACAAATTCAACTGCACATGTAAGAAAATTGTCGCATTTTTTTAAACAAATGTCTTTTTCTGGAATCCATTTGTTTTTTTTTTTAGTGTTTTCTAGTTGATTAGTGTTTGCTACAGCTACAGCTGTTCGCTAAGGCTACCTGTGTTTTTTCTTTCTGTAACGAGAACGAACACAGACGACTTTATGTGTGTCCATTCTTCTCTGAGTGCATGGCTTCCTGTTGTGATTGCAAGATCTATTCAACTCAGAGCAATCCTAAACATGCTGACATTTTCAGCTGTGCTTTTTTAAAATTAGCTTGAAGCATGTGGTTTGTCTAGAAGCTGAGTTCTCTTTCTATAGTCTTATAAGGAGTGGAGCTAGCAAGGTAAACTAAGGCAGTTATTTTCATTAGGGAGAAGCCTGGGGGCGGGCTCAAGGGGTTTTGTGTCACTGCTGGTGATGTTTCTGGCATCATGATTTGGGTTATGAGTCTGATCCTTCTACTAAACACAAATTCATATTTCAGGGTGGTACTTTGATCCTGCATGGTTTTTAAGGTGCTTTAGTAAAGTTAAAGTCCCATTAGTCATCACACACTGGTGAAATTCATCTCTGCATCTGACCCATCCCTGTGGGGAGCGGTGAGCTGCAGCTGTGGCCTTGCTTAGGAACTATTTGTTGGTTTAAACCTCCAATCCAACCCCTTTTAGCTGAGTGTCAAGCAGGGAGGCATTGGGTCCCTTTGCTAAAGTCTTCAGTATGATTTGAACCCTGATCTCCCAGTCCCAGACCACTGAGAACTAAAGATTTATCTAGCATTTTCCATGAGGATGGATCTCACCTCCCTCATCCTTGGGCCAGCTTGCCTCTCCAAACGACTGGCGGCACTGCGTAGGGATCAGCATATTGCCCAGGGATGCTTCAACGAGTGATGCATCAGCAGTCGGTTTGGATCTCACGACTTTCGGATCATGAGTCTAGTGATCTAACCTACATAGCCACAGAAATCTTTGGAGACACCAGGGATTGAACCTGGGCGTCATACATGCAAAGCATGCACTCTACCACTGAGACACATCCCCTTCCACTATCAATAGAATTGGACTAATTTGGCTCTTAAAACTGCAGAGGTTAAAGTAACTGGTTAGGTGTTGGTAGGTTAAAGTAACTGGTTAGGTGTTGGTAAGCGGCAGAGCTAGAAGCCCTTCCTTGGAATACTTATAAAGTTTTTATTGTAACAGACAGAACAAAGACATGATGTTTGAATTCATGTGTTTCTGTGACATTTGGCTGAACGCAAGGCTGTGCACCAAATTAGTCAAACTCCTTTAAAGGTTCCAGATCAAGCTATTTTATACCTTTAGGAGCAAAGGTAGGTACGGTTTATGAACAAATCTTACCAAGATATCCACTCTGGTACGGTGGAGATTGTCTGTGACATGACAGTCAGACTAAAACATTTATAACTGCAGCGATTAAATCAAACTCTTCAGATTAGCAACTCAGAGAAAGTGGGCGTTAGTGGCCTATACTTCCAGAGGAGGTGGGTTTCAGATCTGAGACTAGCTTCATGGGGAGGAGAAAGGTCCGATGACGTACTTCGTTTCCATCCTCGTGTCTGCAGGTTTTTACCTCAGAATCAGAAAACTTGCAGCCGAGAAACGAAAATGCATGAATGCAGCCAAAAACGGGTTTGTGAGTCTTTTTCATGAGGACACAACAATATCACATGGCAAAAAGCTCCTATAAGTGGATCTTCCATGATATGGCCCCTGTAAGTGTCTGTTTTTACATCATCAGTTGCACTGAATGTGACATGAAATAATGGAAATAAATACTAGTGAAAGTAGGTGAGATGGAGTGTGTGTGTGTGTGTGTGTGTGTGTGTGTGTGTGGCTGTGTGGGTGTGTGTGTGTGTGTGTGGGGGGGGGGGGTTACAGGACTGCTCACAGTCATTGTTGACAGACCAGTCACGCTTGTGAAACTTGAGAAACTTTCACCTTTTCATTTAAAAACTTCCCTATTTTGTTATCGCCATCTGTTTTTTTTCCATTTTCTTACATGGGAGTTATCAGTTTTCCAGGTAGACAGAATTTTGTTTAGTCAGCTTTTATTTCTACCGTTCTACTCCGTTATTTATATGCAAAGACAGCTTTTGTTGAGCTTACGACATTCTTGTTAGAACCGGAGAGGCACTGGAAGTCTGTCACACACCTCGTTAGGGCGTGTCCCCTCAGAGCACGGGGGAGGGAACAGGTGAGAAAGGTTTTCATAGTAAGAGTGTCATCAAACTATTCTAAAAGCTTGCATCACTTCCTTTTACAGCTCAGAAAAATCTGAACGACTGACAGATTTAGCTCACTCTCACATGGGATCTAGCCACAGACTCTGAATAAAGCTGGTTTGTGTGCAGGACTGTAATTCTCTGATTCCTACAGCTGTGTGGAAATGGGAGGCAGGCAAGAGGTGGTGTTGGGCATGCAGTTTCAACAGTCCCCATTTATCCGTTTTAACCGGCATTCAAACTTTAATCCAATAATGCGGGGCAGGCGTTTGAAATCATCGAACTACAGGAAGAAGTCTGGGTAGGTGTTTTTACTAAATTCTGTTTTTAGCTTCATGGATGTTTTTGGTCAAGTCTGATTTGTTTGTTTTTAAAGTAAAGTTGAGTAGACGACGGACGGACGGCTTGTTGCTGGTTTACAGTTTAAGGTGTGTCGTCTGTTTTTCCTAAATTTGGTCTGATTGTGACTTTAAACATTTGCATTGTAGGATACTTGCTAAACTTCTGGTTTTATGTTGTTGGCACATGTCGGGTCTTTGCACTGTTGTCATGATCCAGTAAATGAATCTGTGCTCTTCTCATTTTCATATCCTTTCATCAGCAGGCTGAGATCTGATCTGGCATTGCTAACACTTTTCTACTCTTCCTCTTGAGTATTTGTTTGTGGAGCTGATGAAGGTCACTACCCTGCCTGGAGAATTATCCAAATCTTCAGGCAATCAAAATAAACGTTTATTCCATTGTTTAATAAATAAAATATTCATAAAACTTCATACATCACCTGTGGAAGACAAGATAATACAAAGTCAGTCATTTAAAGTTGAAATGATTGATTTATGTAAAGAGCATGTATAACTGACATTCAGCTGTTATCTAACAAGATGTCTGCTGGCAGGTTCCTAAGTGTGAGAAATTCTGCGGCTTTGTCTGTGAGGCATTCTGAATCTGCATTACTTTGAGTTTCCTGGCCTTCTAAAAATAATTTTAAATGTAGGAATCTTTTCATGGCTTATTTTCACGTCCGTATGAGTTAGAGACGGATACATTCAACCGATAGCAATTATTTTAAATGACTAAATTAAGGCAAAGATATTCAACAGACAGTGGTGTGTGTGTGTGTGTGTGTGTGTGTGTGTGTGTGTGTGTGTGTGTGTGTGTGTGTGTGTGTGTGTGTGTGTGTGTGTGTGTGTGTGTGTGTGAGTGAGAGAGCATGTTTGTTTCTCTGTTAGCAACACACCTCATGTTTACTTAGACATATTTGAATGAAACTCCCTGAACGTTCTGCTGTTGTGTCCTTGGGCAAGACACTTAGCCTGCCTGCTGGTGGTGGACAAGAGACCGGTGGCGCCAGTGCTCGGCAGCCTCGCCTCTGTCAGTGCGCCCCAGGGCAGCTGTGGCTACATCGTAGCTCGTCACCACCAGTGTGTGAATAACTGATTTTGTTGTGAAGAGTCTTGGGGGGGCTGTAGAACCCTAGAAGTCGCTATACATAAACATGTACAAAAGTTAACCTAATTCAAAATGGCTGCCACAGCTGATTGGCATTGGCTAGTACCAAATGACTAAAATGTACAGAGACTGAGCTAAAATGTTTTAGGGATTCATTTACACCTACTCGGACTGGTAGCGTGAAAACTTAATGTTGACCAAATGATTGTAACTTCGTCATTTCTAAGTTTAAGATATTCATTTATAGCCTCTATCCCACCAAAGAACGCTGATGCTGGGCTTTTCATTTATTCTGCGTTAATTTACACTCAGACAGATCTTACTCTTTTTTTCATAGTTGTGTTTGTTGTTTTCAACCGTTATGGTTTTGTTTCCATTGGAATAAACTGGATCAGCTGTTGGAATGTAATCATGCTGGTTCACAGAACTATGAAACATGGCAATGCTTTTTACACAATAAATTTGTTTGTTGTTGTCGGACTTACTTCATAGCTTTTTTAGAAAAATGACAGAGTTGTAAAACAAGGGCCGTGATGTTCTTTCTGCAGCAGTAGCACACCTCGTTGTCCGCACTAAGGTTTATTTATCAAAGCCTTCTGTCCCTTTTCTGCATTATTCAGCTCTGATGTTTAAGCTGCAAACTCAACACATTTTCAAATTCAATTAGATTAAATCAGTTTGAGATGTTTTTGCAGTTATTTCTAAGTGTGATTAGAAAACCAAAAGTTGAATGATTCTACATAAGATTAATGGGAATAAAATTGCTCTTGTAAAAGAGACATATTCATACATTATTTTTCTTTTACATTGTACATTGATTAAAATAATAAACAGACCCGTGTGCCACGCTGTAAATGGTTATTTTGTTTTTTCTGGTTGTCACTTGACTTTCAACGACTTTCAGTAGAAACTCAGGATCTCATCAAACCCCCACCATAAAACTGGTTGAGCTCTTCTGATCAGATCTTGCTTCAGCTGACTTACAGTTGTTATGTTTATGGGAACATCTCGAAGCACAACGGAAGGAATGCTGGTTATTTTCTTGGCTTGGATACTTCCAGCACCTGTAGTTTTATTAGGCACCTTCTCTTTCTGCAATGACGACATCATCATTCCTCAGAAATGAATCTGGTGGTTTGTTTCTGTCTTTTTGAGATTTGCTGACTCAAAGAATGTGACTAAACCACTGTTGTGAGTCAACAGACCACTTCCTGTGCGTTTATGTGATCGCTGAAGTCACATTTTGGCCCTTTGACGTCTGCGAATGTGTCCCATTGTTAGCAGAGAAGCAGAGGGATCTGACACCTACTCAGGAAAAACAGACTACTTTTATCACCTGTGAGCACATAGAAAATGTATGATTTATTAGTCTAAAACTCTCAGTTGTACGTTTCAGATTGTATTGTTGGAGGATTCTGTTATCAGAAATGTTTTGGTGGGTGGAGGGGGCGTCATCCTAAAGATGTCATATTGTTACAGTGACACCCAGTGGCTGTTTTGGGTACTTTTCCTCCAGGTCCCATTTTCCAAGAACAATAGACCCCCCCACCCCCTTTGTGTGTGCTCCCCATCTCTCTCCTCACACCGGTCCTCCCTTTATCCCGCTACTTTTGTCTCCATCTCTCCAAGCCGATTCATCCATCCATTCCCGCCTCCATCTTCATCGTTCCTTTGTGTCTTTGTGTTTCTGCTCATTTGTTTGCATGCATGCGTGTGATTTCTTTACGTGTGTGTATGTCTGCACCAGAGATCCCAGCCCCACCGAGATGAGCGTCGAGCCCTGGGCCAGCCCACAGGACCAGGCAGCCGCTGAGCACACTTACAGACCCCACTCGCTTCCCTCCCAGGACCAGGAGCAGGAGCGGCACCCCGATAAACAGTGTCTGGACTCCTTCTGGAATGAGGTTGAGACCATCCGACAGGGGAGTGGTGAAGCAGATCTTGACCACGGCAGAAGACACTCCAGAGAGTCAGAAGGTAATTAACACACACATCCAGTGTTGTTTCTTTAGGAATGGAAAGAAAGGAGAGAATTTGTGTCCGCAAATGCAACAGAGATCCTTCATTTCCTTGAAATGATTCATTCACCATGGCAGTATCTCAGGTTTCTCTCATGTGGCAAAGTACTCATCATCACCATAGCAACACGATCAAACACTAGAAGATTGAAGGATTTTCAGGGGGAGCAGACAATGATGAATGCAGACTCGATCAGATGTTAATGTGGTTTTCAGCAGATTTTTAAGAGAATCAGAGGCACTGCTTTGTATAAACAAGTCTTCTATGTGAAAAGAAATGGTCTAATGTGTTTTTACTGGATTTAAAAAGCTTAATATTGATTATTGGATGTACAGGAGCCAGAGTCTGCATAGTCATAACTCCTGTAGTTGTAATAAAGTCTCTGATGTAATGCTGCTCCACCCAGGCTGGCTGGTGCAGCTCGTGTACTCTTGTTATGGGATGGTTCCAATGGAATAAACACATTTTTATGTGATTGTCAGTGAGAAAAAAATGAGAGAATTTTTTTTTCACCCAATAAAAGTTCATATCCTATGACTGGACTTTATGTTTTCTATCGTCTTTAAGCAAAGTGAAAAAGGTGATCATGTGAAGCTATAGTTGGCTCAAAATTAGAAGTAATCCAGTAATTCTAGATTATACTTGTAGAGTATTTTAACATTCATGACTTTTCTGCTCCTCTACACGATTCAGACGGAGACCAGGAGGAGCAGTGGCTAACAGATGCTGGATTATCAACCCTTATCAGCGAAGATGGCGAGGATGTAGACAAGGCGGTGCTTCTGTCCACTCTTACTCGGGCGCAGGCTCAAGCCGTCCAGCGTCGACTCGACTCCTACACGATATCTCGCCGTAAAAAGAACAAAACGCCACCACGTGACGTTCGAGACATCTTCGACTCTCCCATTTCTGCGGTTAGTATGAGGAAGTGTTGCACACAGAAAATGCCATTCTTGAGATTGTTCTGATGCCCCAGGTGTTTGTTTTTATCACTACAGATGACATTTTACATCACAGCACTTCAGTTTCCTCCTAGGAGATCCTGTTGGTTTGGGATGGAAAAAACATGTTTAAAAAAAATAAAAGAAACAGAAATAAAATGTCTTTTTCCCCAAGTGATGGCCAGAAATGAGTGAAGGACTTTCTGTTGTTTCCTACAGCAGGACTGACCTCCAACTATAAAAGCAAGTCCCACTTAAATGCCAGGCTTTGTCCCCGAGCTCTGCGTCTGTCAGGACACAGAAACGCAGCACCTCCGATCATTATCAGTGTCTTATCAGAGGAAACACCTTGTATTCCTGTGTGTGTTTGGTTAGAGGAAAAGAGGAAAACACACTTTATTCCCAGGAGTTTTTAAGAAGTGATAATTTTTTTATAGCTGTTTTCATGGGAAGTTAACACGCCTCCTTCTCTGCAGACCTTGCTTCCAGAGCCTCATTGCAGTGACGACCTCAGTATGGCATCGGTTGCTAAATCTCCTCTTTCAGGTAGGAGTTGCTTCACCTGAATAAAAATTAAAGAGCAAGTTCACTGAGAAACCTTTTTTCACTTGTTATATTTGAATTAAGTTCAGCGCTGGGCGGGGGAGCCTGCTCATCATCACCCCAGCAGAAAGGGGCGAACTCTAGGAACCGGTGATGGTTGTACCCATTGTGCAGCAGTACCGAGACCAGAGTGAATAGTGTGTATGGGGAGAGTGAGGGGAGAGTGAGTGGGTATCTAGCGTTCATTTTTGGAAGTCTTAGGTTGTATGGGCATGTGTGAGCATGAGGGAGGGAGTGTGTGACTGTGTCTGTGTATGACTGCATATGACAGGTTGGGTATTGGACTCTTCCCCTCTCCTCGGATTTCTTGTGCTACTACACATCTTCGCCTGCCCTCCCTCTGCCTGATTTGGTGTGGGGTGTGGTGCCTTGGTCTGCCTGAGTGTTCGCAGCTCCCGGGTCAGGGGGTTTTAAGATATTTGGAGTGTGCCTGATCGATACCGGTGGCTGCCTGGTGGGATCTGAGTCCCTGTGCTCTTTTGGGTCCCCGGAGGGGCTGGTCGCCCCTGGGTCCTGGGTCGCTGGGTTCCAGGCTCGGCCGGCTTGGGGGTGGGATGCTGCAGGCAGGCCTGTGGGCTTGCCACTGATATCTCCTGGGACTCTGCCGGCTGCAGGTTGTGGCCCCCCGGGGCAATCGTCTGTGCCTCTCGAGAGGGGGCTGGGGCTTTTCTAGTTAGTCTCCCTGGGGACCCTGCGCTCTAAGGCAGCTCCTGGATCTCTGGCACTTGGAGCTCCCCCCCCCCATCTCCTACACATCTTTGGGGGACAGATCTGTGGCACCTCACACTCTCTATTGGACGCTCCTATAGAGAAACCTTACATATACAAGCACATGAACGCACAGAGCTGCTCACATGGTGCTCTCATAAGTATGGACTTGGGCACGTTCAACACATGGCTTAACCCTCCCACTGTCTTCATGGGTGACCCCGCAAAGAAAGTTGACCATTGAGCAGGACTGATGGTTTATCCCTTGAGGTCCACGTGGCAGGGGTGAGGAGCGAGCACCACCTCACCCCTGCCACGTGGACCTCAAGGGATAAACCATCAGTCCTGCTCAATGGTCAACTTTCTTTGCGGGATGTGACATCAAAGCAGAAGCTTTGATGTCACTTTGTCGCTTTGATGTCAGGTGTGACATCAAAGCAGAAGGTTTGATGTCACACCTGAGAGTAAATCTGTACGGCTTGTCACCAGCATTCAGACATGTTTGCTTCACAGCCAGACAGGCCATGGGGGAAAAAATAAAAATACTAATGAGTAAAACTCCAAAGGCTGCCATTTTCAGTTTTAAAACAAAAAAAAAATGGAGATAAAAATGGTTTCCTCTTGATATCACTGCAGTGGCTGTAGTTGTTCAACAAAAAGTTTTTAGTCATCTGATTTAAAGTTTTACGGAAATCAGAAACTTTAACTCCAACACAAATCAGCAGGTTGATTTTTGTTACTGATGAACTCTCAGAGCGCCGTGTCCTTTCAGAGGAACTTTTATCTCAGTTGTTAGAAACGGATGATTATTTATTTGTTCATTTGGTAAAAATCTGATGTGTCATCAGAGATAACAATTCATGGAACATTTACTCTTTATCTTAATTCTTTTGTGCTCCCACGCATTTCATCAACCATCACTTTGATTTCATTTTGACACATTTTCTGTGAACTTCCTTCATTTGAATAATTTACAACTTTTTGCATCCATTCAGCCATGACTCTGGAGCATCAGCGAGGCGCTGCTAAAGAGGAATTCCTCATCACGGACATCGCCTACTGCGAACAGGCTGCCATCTTCCTGAAGCAGGCCAAATTTCCACAGAATAACACCCAACACAAGAAAGAAGACGGCACCCTCCCTGTAAGCGCCATGCCGCTGATGACTGCAAATCTAAAAGTAGAATTTTAATTAAGCTTCAAAAGGAAATGCCTGCAATATTTCACACTTGATTAACTATAGATTGAAGGCCACAAATAGATTTGTCTCTAGCTTAGCACCTTACATACTTTAACTTTTACTCCCATTTGCACTCATGAAAAATAAAGTAAACCCTAAAACCAGCTGAATAGAAACAGGAATAATTCTGTTTTCAGCAGAGGTGTGGACTCGAGTCACATGACTTGGACACGAGTCAGACTCGAGTCATTATTATAATGACTTCTGACTTGACTTCAAAAAATCTATCAAGACTTACGACTTGACGCGGACTTGAACGCCAATGACTTGCGACTTGAATCGACTTGCATCTGTTGACTTGATGATGACTTGAGCATATTTGATATTTTAGCACAAAAGTGGCATGACATGGACAAAAATCATAAATCATTCTTGGTCCTGGGTTTGATCTTGTACTCCTAAATCCAGCAGCACTTTGTTTATAATCAGTTTCAGCTGCACTTCCTGCTTGTTGGAGCAGCTTTAAATTTAAATTTTGCTTTAAGAAGCTTCACTTCTGGAATTTATTCATTATCATTGTCATTAAATAGAAGTTTGACAGATGGCTTCATTATGACTTGAAAATACAAAATTAAGAACTTGGACTTGACTTGGACTTGATTGTCTTTGACTTGGACTTGACTCAAGACTTGACTGGAAAGACTTGTGACTTGTGACTCGCAAAGCAGTGACTTGGTCACACCTCTGGTTTTCAGACCCAGTTTAAAGTGCATCAAGTTTAATATCAGTAAGTATTTTTAGCCGAGGGTCAAGATGGATTTTAATTATGTAAATTTGACACAATTATTTTTACACTCTGCTCTGTGAACTTGATTAGATAACCGTTTCACAAATGTTGGGATTAGCTCAAACAGAGTTGTTTCGTCTCAAAGTCCAGTTTCTATTTCTACCTGAAAAGCTCTGCCCTCATTAAGGAGCTGCTAATAATCGGTGTTTATGATGGATGTGATTTCATCCTTCGTGTTATTCATCACCCATTTTTTATGTTTCTAATTTTTAACGTGTCGCCTTCTCTTCAGCGGGTGATCTGCCCCAAGTGTCGCCTCGGAGTGACCCGGATTCAGGATCTCTCCCATGCTGACATGAAGAAGGTGCGCCAGTTGGCTCTCATCGACATGACGGCACTGTGCGACATTTTAGAAGTGGATGTGAAGCGGCACAAAACAGGAAAGAGGAAAATCCCAGGTGGGAAAGCATTCTTGGAAGAAAAGGTTAACACATAGTTATGTGAGGACAAAAACATTTCAATTCAGATTAAAAGAGAGATCAAAACTGGTATTTGAATGTGTGATTAGTTCTGCACAAAGCACCTTTCACCCACACAGGAAGTGATGTCACCCATGATACAGGATGTTGTTGAATTGTTGCTGTTTGATCTTTTCCAGAAAGTACGCTTTTTGGCGTGCCGCTGGCCACGATGCTGGAGAACGATCAGAAACTGAAGCCAAACACTTTGATTCCTCTCTTCCTGCAGAAGGTGTGTGTGTGTGTGTGTGTGTGTGTGTGTGTGTGTGTGTGTGTGTGTGTGTGTGTGTGTGTGTGTGTGTGTGTGTGTGTGTGTGTGTGTGTGTGTGTGTGTGTGTGTGTGTGTGTGTGTGTGTGTGTGTGTGTGTGTGTGTGTGTGTGTGTGTGTGTGTGTGTGTGTGTGTGTGTGTGTGTGTGTGTGTGTGTGTGTGTGTGTGTGTGTGTGTGTGTGTGTGTGTTTCTCAGACATCACATGAAACACAGTAGCATTCATCTGAACTACATCTGTTCAGACTTTGTGAAAAGCTGAATATTTGTTGGATTCTTGCTCAGTTTGAACATGAAAATCCACTTTAGGTCTTCAAATACAGACAAACAAAACCCCATCATGCTCTGGGGGTGCAGCACTTTGACCACACCCTGTGAGCAGCAGCAGTTACGGAGTCCAACCAGCAGAGGCTGCAGGAAACTCAGAGTTGCTCACATCTGATTGTTCTCTCTACAGCTGTTGACATTTCTTGAGAAGAAAGGAATGGATTCAGAGGGGATCCTGCGAGTTCCGGGATCTCAGTTCAGAACAAAGGTACTGTTTAAAAACCACCGACAGACTTACCCTTTTCACAAGCTGAATGACATTCAATAACTTTTGACTCTTAAATGTCAGAAACATCATAATAAAAATCTATTTGCTTTAGGGTTTAACTACAGCTGACATTCAGGACAACACGGTCCAGAGACACTAAATCAATTGTGCTCTTTAGCTTTGTTTTATTTAATAAACTCATTATAATAAAGTTTAATGAAAGCAGCCACCAGAGGGTGCCAGTGGGCAATAAAAGGAACAAAAAGATCAGATGGTGAGTAATTAAGCTGGATCAGATAACAACAATAAACTCGGACTATTATTATGATTATCTTTTCACTAAAAACCGCAAAAAAGTGTAATCCAAATACATTTCGCACCATTAAATACTAGTTTTTAGTTTTTTTTAATTGATTTTCACTAAATATTAACACAAGCACAATGAGTGTTTCTGAGGATGCCAACAGAGACGTTTTCTGTTAGCTCTGACATCCAGCTGGACCTGTTGCTCTGCATGTCTGTCTGATTTAATGCCCGACTATATATACAAGAGTCTCTTATGGAATGAGCGTACCACAGCCAAGAGTCTAGCATTTCCATAAAGTGAGTTTGACCTGCAGAAACCGGAGTGTGATGGTATTTGTCTCACCTGTGTTTATTTCTGTCAGTGTCGCTCTCATCATGTTGTTTCACTAATCATTTGCTTTTATCTAGAAAGATTAATTTAAGTAGGGGGTGTTTCTGTGAATGAACACATGTCCACTTGTTGGCTGATTGTAGCAGAGAAGCAGTTTCGGGAGGATGATTGTTAGCACGTTGCTTTAAAAATCTCGTGTTTCCTGTTTTCAGGTGCTGCAGGAGAACTTGGAAACAAATTTTTACACGGAGCGTTTCAGCTGGGATGATGTCAGTGCCAACGATGCTGCTGCGCTGCTCAAGAAGTTCATCCGGGACCTGCCTGAGCCGCTGCTCACAGCAGAGTACCTCAACACCTTCAGCTCCGTCAGGGGTCAGTCGACCACTCAGCAAATATTCTCTTTAGAAGATTTTCATGCCAGTTTCTTCCTTTTTAGTCAAATGTGTCAAAAGATGGCATCTGAGATCCTCAGCAGTTCAGCTTCCATCTATTGGCCAAATTTCCTGACTGCTTATCAAGGTTCAGATCATAATTACCAAAGTCTCTCAGCAGCTGTGCTGTGATTTTTATATCTTTGGTTTGAAGATGAACATGCAGATGACCTCCAAAATCCATTGCTAACATGTTTCATCACCTCCATAAATACAGAGACACAGCAGACGAGAGGGTCAGCTGTTTGTGCGTTAGCTTCACTTTAATAAAGGAGCAGATTGATATTAGTATCATGTGACTGATGACTGTCTGATGTAGAGTTTGTGAGGAGGATCAGCAGCGTGATGAACGACGCGTGACCAGAGAGGCATAAGCTAACAAACCTAATGGCCACCGGTCACAATGCCATTAATCATTAGATATCCCATTACTCTTAGTCGCACGCAGAGGAAATGAAGTGTGTGTGTGTTTTCCGCCTTTCTCACATTGTTTTCTTTTTCAGACATCACAGAGCTGAGACAGAAGCTTCACATGCTGAACCTGCTCATTCTGCTGCTGCCTGAGCCCAACAGGAACACCCTAAAGGTAGAAAAACCCTGATATTTTATGACCCAAATGCACAGCATTGTTGCAGAACAGAACTAAAGGTTTAACACCAGAATATTTGGAACAGATGAAGGCTTTTGAAATTATTTTACTAGAAAATCTAGATCCTGTGAAACTGCAATTGTAGAAAAAACATAATTGAAACTATTTACTTGGATATATTTCCTTTTGTTGTTGCTGCTTGTTTGAAAATTACCACTGTAACCTACAATAAAATACTTAAATTCCACTCATTCAGAAAACTTAAAGGTGTTGAACACTCGTTTAGCTGATATTTTTGCAGCGGTGTCTAGTAGGAATGCCTTGTGAGTCGTACAGGTCCATCTGTTTCAGGAACAGAATGCCTCGTCAGAGGGGAACAAGCACAACAGGATTTGGAGTCTTATTTCCTGATATTTGGACATCTCACCTCTGATTGGATAAAAGCAACTCTACCGCGCTAACTGTTTACTCTGCATCAATGTTTTATCTCTACAAATAACACAAGCCTGAAGAAGTTCAGCTGTGTGGTGGTGCTGCTAATGCTAGCAGTTAGCTTAAACTAGCTGAGAGGTTCTCTGCTGTTTGCTGGATGCTAAAACAACAATGTGACGTAGATCTGTCAGGCTTTTCTAATCCTAGAGTTTCACTGTCTATTTTCTATCAGAAGCTAATGCAGGAGATGGGTGTAGGAGACTATTTTCATGTTCAGCCTGCATGAAAAACTCAAGTGACTGATTATAATCAGATGTAATAATTAGAATATGGTTTTTCAGGGAACCACCCCTTTAATAATCACTAACTAAACAAAGCATTATTTTATCCTACAGATGATAAAATATTTGCCTTTGTTTGCATAAAACTTTAAATAAATGACATGTAAAAACAACTGACTAATTGTTATATTGCATAAACACACACACACACACACACACTACTGTACGTTTCATAAGGTATCACAGCTCATTTTGACTCTTAATCCACCCTCTAAACTCTACTTTGTTTATACAATCCCTTATTTTGGTCGTGACTCACTCTTCACCAGCACAGGTGTGCAGTCGGCTCCACTTTGAGTAACTGGTAGTAAAAATGCCAGCTGAACTCCTCACGAAGACTCCAGTGGAAGCAGCAGAAACATCCTGTGTGTGAATAATTCACTTTGTGATTTCTGTGCTTCATATGAACAAACTCCAACGGGTCAATGTGTTTCCTCTTTTCAGGCTCTGCTCGAATTCCTCAGTAAGGTCGTTTCCAGGGAGAGGAAGAACAGAATGAACCTGTGGGCTGTTGCAACCATCATGGCTCCCAACCTTTTCCTCCATAAGGCCGTGCCGATCCGACTGACTGACGGACCGGAGAAAGGGCAGGTGGAGAAGGCAGCTGATGTCATGAGGCTCCTTATCCGGTACCAGGACCTGCTCTGGATGGTAACTAATAACTCACAGGTTTTTTTGTTTGAATCTGTTCTTGGTTGGCAACATTCATAACAAACATTACAGAAATGAATTGAGCAAAAGCTGTAAACTATATTAAAACAAGACATCAGGAGGTTCCTCTTCCTGGTCCAGGAGCCTAAAGTGTTTAGTCGCTGTGAAATGTGTTCAGCATTCTTCTCGGTGATTACCAGTGTGAAGCTTTGCTAATCAGCACCTTGTCATGTCTTTTGTCTCTCCAGATCCCAAATTTCCTCGTGAGTCAGGTGCGCCGGTTGAATGAGAACAGTAACCGTCGTTACCAGTTCTACGATCGCCGCTTCAAGAACCTGCTGAAGAAGATCCAACCAGAAACCAGAGAAAAACCTGAGAAAATCAAATCGGAGGTGAGGTGAATGGAGGAAAAGTAAACGTAGACCTCTTGAAAGTCGCCTTTAAGAAATAACTATGAACAAGAGATCTAGTATGCTATAAAATCAGTCAACAGTTGAGTTGTTTGGACCTTTTATAAGCCTTCCAACTGCTTTAGTCTCGTTATGCTTTATGAAGTTAAAAAAGTTTCTATTTGTGTGTGTCCTGTAGATGCGTCGCTCAGTGAAGGTCCAGGTTGGAGATATAGTGAGCGGCTCGTTGGAGTTTCACCTCAACATCAACTCTCGAACCGTCGACCTCCTCGAACAGTTTCAGCGCCAGTATATCCGCAGCCCGGCAAATGGGAAGGGAAAAATGAGAAGGTACACTACTTCAGAAGCTCTGAATAAAGGAACTTGTCAGAACTTTCTAAACGTTAAACTTTTTATCCAAACTAAAACATCATTAATGTTTTTATGCGTCCACAGAAACGGCTCCGCGGTGTTTCCGGACTGCGCTCTTTACGAGGTGGGCGGGAATATCGGTGAGTTTCTCAGCTCTGATGTGTGCGTGTCTTTCTGCTCACTGAGCTGATGGAAGCAGGAAGGTGAAACGAGTTGTACATCTGCAGTTATCAGAGCAGAGAAAGGCTTATTAGACACGTCTGTTCACTCCCATGAGCACAGCACCTCGTCACTTTACGGGAAAACTTCAAACTTCGTCTTTTGTGCTTTGTAATCAATCATAGATCAAAGTTAAAATGTGTTTTTTGATCTTTTCTTTGTCTTTAGTAATGGAGTATTTGGGATTTTAGTTCTGCTAGTCGACCAGAAAACTCGCCGACGTCTCAAATGTAAATCAGTGAGTGATTACTCGTTGTGTTTCTTCAGGTGAGCACTGTCTGGACCCGGACACACACCTACTGGACCTGTACAACAGTAACCCCACTGGAGAGTGGATCATCAGGGTGAAATCGTACGGAGGCAGGGCGCCCTGACCTAAAACTTGTGGGACAGGGGACGGACAGATTGAGGAACCCGTTTGAGAAGAGACATAAAACCACTTTCTGTCCTGTTCATCCTCGGAGCAGCAGGGAGGCAGACGGATGAAACGGAAACAGATTTGTGGAGAATCTGCCAGGAGCAGAGCCCAAAAACCAACTGGCCTCCGTCTCTCCTCCTCCTCCATTTGTTCATTCCATCTTCATCTACCATCTTGTATTTTTCCTCCCCTACTCGGATCATCATCATCGGTTTCCTGCGTTACTGTGGGGCCGCGTCGCTGTGAGCAAAAAGCTGCTTACAGAGAACCTGCTGCACAGAATCGAGGAGAGAGACGGTGAGCGCCTCGCTGGTTTCCTCTGAAGCAATCATCTCCAACCACAAGTGAGCAGATGGGGATGCAGAGCACCTCTGGCTATTCCGACCCCCTCCACCCCCACCTCACGCCAGTTTCTGCTCCAAATACGCCATGTCTTCCTGCTTTGGGCCTAATCCTACAGGCTGCCTGTACATATTCTACACAAATTGATATTATCCAGTTTAATGAACATCAGCTGAGGTTCATTAGCTATCAGGAGCTGTTGATTTAAAACAAAACAAGAGTTTAGACCATTTCCTGGGTCTGATTTTTTTTTCTGTCATTCATCCAGCAGTGTTACAATTATTTGATTTTTAATATCAATTATTCACTATTATTTCTGCTCATTTACACAAAACATCTATTAAGAATTAAAAAACCAGGCAGAAAACTTAGTTTTCAAGAGAAATTTATTCCACTTCACGAAAAATGACCTGTTTTTAATTTGATACAGAAAACATTTTTTTTTCTTTCACTTCTGTTTTTTGGGCACTAGAATCAGCAGGGAGTTAAACAGGAGGAGCAGAAGCTAGCTGTCCTGCTAACTGCTAATCCATCACTCCTTGCTTGCTGTTCTGTTGCGGTTTGTCCTCTACAGCTTGGAGGACAAAAGAGACAAAGGCGTTTCTTCATTTGTGTAAAAAGAAAAAAGGACACTGAACTGTTGGTATTTGTCTGTTAAACTGTGAGAATCCCAAACAAAATGATGCTGAAAGAGCCTGAGATGTTTTCTGTTGTTGCTCGGAGAGGTTTGGTGTCGCAGCGTCGAGGGCATTCATTGGACCTCTAAAGGGAGTTAAGGACACAGTGGAGCTGGTCTTCATTTGTAGTTCTTCAGCAGAAGCGCCGAGGTGACTCACTGGGTTTTGTTACTATTTATATGATTATAATGCTGTTGCTTCTGTCATTAGTACGGAGTAGGACGGTGCGTGTGTGTGCATGTGTGTGTTGTGATTACGTACATGTTCACCTTGTTTATGGACCTATTATGATCCTCTTTTCACACACTCGCCCACTAGGAGAAACTGCTGTAGGACTGTTGTGAAGCTATTCCGAACACACACGCATACACACACACAGGCAGCAAATGAATGTTTTTAACACTTTGTGCGCCAAACAGTCAGAGCCATGTTGTTGCACCGCCGCCATTTTGTTGGAAGTGTCTTGCTCGCGCTACTCGGTAGACGAGGGTAATGACGGCGGAGCCTCGCCAGCATCCATCAACACCCTCTGCTCCATCTCTGTCACCTCCCCATAATGAACCTTTAATGGCGGCATCAGAAACACGGGGAGGAATCACATTTCTCTGATAAAGCAGGAGGCAATAAACGTCTGATGAATTCTGCGGCCTCAGACCCAATGACAGCAGTGTTTGTGTGCGTGCACGTGCGTGATGAGTTTCATTACACTTGTCCAATGGGCCCGTTGCAGGGTCCCGGGCACAGTTGAGTGGCTCCACACAAAGCGAGTTGATGAGAACGCCTTCTGCTGACAGTCAGGAGAACTAGGTCACCTCTGAAGCTGCGGCTTCACGGAGGGTCCGAACAGCCCGAGGTGCAGAACCCGGGGAGACGTCGTCCCAACAGCAGCAGCGCCTCATCCACTCTTTGTTTGTGAGAGTGTTGCTGAAACAGTGTTTTGTGTAAATATCCAGGGACTGTCGTGAAACTGAACGATGAACTAGAACTGAAACATTTGCTTCCGGCTGTGATCCACATGTGAATCTTTTAGACGTCCGTCTGTCCTCGGGGGTCTGAATGTATATTTATGCTCTTTACACAAGTTTTTAATGTCTGTGAAAACAGTTTTCCGTAGAAAAAGTTTTTTGAAAAATGTTCTTTTTTGACAATAAACATGACTAATGTGCTAAATGTGTTGTTTTTTTAGCCTTCATCCTGTCTGGTGGTATCAGTGAAGGCATCATTTATCAACTACTCAGGAGCATCTGCTCTGTCAGAGGGAAAATGTGAGACAACAGAGAAGAAGAACGGAGTTTCTTCGTCCGCAGTAATCAATAGAGAGATTAACCCTGTAATGTGCTCGGGTGGAGGGGCCAGAGCTGATAATCAACACCACCACTCCTAGAAAAGAGCATTTCCAGTTAGCTGCTTTATGAAGACTGATCCTTCAAGTCTCGTCACTTTCTTTTTTCCCCACAAAATAAATGAATATTTATAAAGGCTCGACTTCTTGCATCGGATATTCTGCGCCTTTCTTTCATGCATGTTAACGTGTTGTGTCTTCATTCCTATTGAAAGCCCACCCCCGCCCTCACAGAGCTGCAGCAGCCTGCCAGACGAGGGACCCTTCGGCCTGCTGCAGGTTTAAATTACTGTAATCAGTGGATGAATAGCAATCAGCAAGATTGTTTGAGCTGCTGGCAGAAAGCCTGACCCACAGCTCTCTCCACCAATCAGATGGCCGTGTCCCATTCATAACTAATCACAACATGCACTCAGAGCTCACCACTTCCCTCCTAATTGACGGAGGAAGCGCTCTTCTCCATTTTGTCTTTTTGTGTCAGGCTGACCGGATTGATGAGGGATGACGTTGCAGATGAAGCTTTGGATTTCCTACTTAGATGAAACAATTTGGATCAACCGCTCACCAAGTTTTAGTTTCAAAATTCATTTCTGTTGACAGTTTAGTGAAAGGAGACAAACTCACATTTTGTATCCTTTTTTTGTTGCCATGTGGGTCTCTATAAACACTCCAAACACGGAAATAACCCATCCATCCCTTAACCCTGTTTTGTTTCAGGGATTTTGTACCTAAAATTAGTCATTTCAAAAAGTCCCTGTTTGTGACATCACAAAAAGGGAATAAGAGTAGAACCACCACTCAGGTGCAAGAGAGAGCTGCTGCTGAAGGAGCAGCCCTTCCATCCTGAGCCCCTCCTGGATATTGGAGCTTCTCAGCTTATAGCAGCCTGAGTGGGGGCTGGGTGGGCGTGTCCAGCTACAGCTTGTTTTCTTAAAGTGACAGTACCCTGAAAGGGCTTATTCTGGAGGGTTTTGAAAATGTCAAGAACAAAACTGCTGAAATTACAAGAGGAAGGATACAATTCATCTCTAAATACAGTCTTGTTTTGAAATATCTTATTTGGGTTTGTCTGAGCACAACATTTTACACAAAAGCATCCAGAAAAACTAACACTAAACAAAATTAACAATTAAGAAAACTATAACAAGGAATTCATTTATTGTTATTACATTTAATAAATCAGGAAGCTTAAATACTGAGACAGTGAGTTGTTTAAGAGTGAAAGAACAGACAGGAAGAGCATATAAACAGTTAACTAATGAAACCAGATTTTCAAAATAAAATGGCAGAATAGGAGAATAGTAGCTGAAAATGAAACTAGAGATTTACAGACACACGTATGCTGAAGTCATGACATCACAGATCTAATCGGTCTTTTTCTGCAGACAGAAATGTTCAACAATAACAAAATCATATTAACTTCAGGTGGTGTTTAATATGAACTTACAATGTGACGGAGAGGCTTTTACAATCATAACAGAAAATCAGGTTTAACATTTGATTTGGACTTTAAGGATGCATGCAGACAGATCTGTAATCAGTCTACCTCTGACTGCCAGACACTTGCAGAAAGTTGTTACATGCAAATGTGTACAACTTTATTTGAACTGATTGTTTAAAGTTTTGGATCTTTTAGAGATGAAGTATCTAAGAATAGAAAATTACTCATTTAAAAAAATACAAAAACACCACGACTCTGCCGGAGAAAACTAAAGCTCATCACTACGGGTGAGGATGCCTCCATTTTAATTTCTTATTTTTTTACATGTGACTCACCCCATCCTCCACTCCCTCCTACCCTCTGCCCCTCCCATCTCTGACCCACCCCCTGATCACTGCCAGGGGTGGATCCCAGCGTTTATCTCCAGCATCCAGCCATGGCGTCTCCTAGCAACAGAACATGGACCATTTAACTGCTCCAGCATCCTCCATCCTCCACTTTATTCAGTCGCTCATTGCAGACAACACGCCAAATACCTTTGTTCACATTTTCTGAGCTTTTATCCTCCTCCACAAGGCCTGAAATTCTCCTCTGAGCGTGCTCCAACATGTTTCTGTCGTACCACTCTTAAAGCGTATCAGTGCCACACTCAAGGGCAGACAGACAGGCAGGAGAGGCTTTTCTGGATTCGGCAGGTGCACGCGCACACGCAATCAATGGGAGAAGACAGGACTTGGCCCTCTGTCTGAAAGGCCCTCGCAGAATCAATTAGCATTGAGATTAACGAAGCGCATAATGAAGAGAGCGCTATCTCTCCTGCTGACAGACGACAAACGGGCGGAGGGACGGTTGTGCATCTGCATCAGGAAGACAGGCTGAAAGCAACATCAAAAATATTCAAATAACCACTTCATACCCTACAAGAAAAGTGCCAAATTAAAAAGCAGGGTGGCTTTAAATAAAGCTACAATAAGGATGTAGTTTTAATAAAACACATTTCCATATAAAAAGTGTCGTTAATGAAACGCATAATTAAAGATAAGATGATTGCATGGAGAAGGCTGCTTTTTATCTGACAGTATCCATCAGAGCAAATGTGCTAAAAGGAGGCTGCTTCCGGTGCCGATGATCCTGGCTGATTTACAGGCTGCAGGTGAGAGACGGAGCTCATTCATGTCTAAATATTGTTTTTATCAAAGTTTAAAAAAAAGGCGAGGAAAGAGGTTTACATTTATTTAAATGATCAAATTAAAGCGTTCATGTGTTTGTAACTTTGCTGAGGATCTTTTAGACGTAATAACTTGATGTTTCCTAACTAAAGTACTATAAGCATTATTAGTTTTTTATGTTATAATGGAACTCGTTCATAAGGTGATCAAGCCTTTTTAAGCTGCTCTGAAGGATTGTGAGCTGCTGAGAGTTTCACGTTGATCTGATCTCTAGATGAGCTCAAACATCTTTGTCACAGAATGTTTTTGAGGAGAAACAAAATAAAAGCTTGTTTGAGACATAAAATCCTACTTTGATCATGAAACAAAAGCAAAAATAAATAAGTTGGATGAATATTTCTTTTTAAACCAACTTACTTCAGGTTAAACATTCTGTTCTTGCTGACTTGTTTAGAGCAGAATTCAAACACACACACACACACACACACACATACAAACTTACAATGAGAACAAATCTGACTATGTCGACACAAACTGATGCCTTCACACTCAACAGAAAAAAAGGGGGCGTGTGATTCTGCATGCTTGTGTGCTCTTCCTAACAGACACAAACACACACACACACACACACACACACACACACACACCTTATCTCTACTACACAGCAACAATAGGAAGCGTGATGTTGATGCAGCGTTCCTCTTTTCAAAGCCTCACTGAGGAGGAGGTGGGCTGTGCCTCCCCCTTCTCAACATGACTCATGACTTGGAGTACACCCCCCTCTCAAGTAATGTGTCAGTGCTGTCAGGATGCTGCCAAACCCTCAACACACTCTCAAGGAAGGGAAAGGAAATAATGACCAGCTGAACTTGTAGCTCATGTTTTTATTTTACTTTCTTGAACTATTGTCCATCATCCAACCACAACCCGTCTGTACACCCATGACGCCACCCCCTCACTGCCTCGGCTGTCTCTTTGGTTTACAGTGTGATTGTAAAGAAATACCCACAATGCAACACGCCCTGCAAGGGGCTTTTCCTGACCTCGATGTGAGGACGCATGAAACGGGAGATGTGGGTAAATGTTAGCAGTGATGACAGCGGGATGCCGGAGGTTAGCAAGTTAGACACAGTGTGTGTGTGTGTGTGTGAGTGAGTGTGTGTGTGTGTGTGTGTGTGTGTGTGTGTGTGTGTGTGTGTGTGTGTGTGTGTGTGTGTGTGTGTGTGTGTGTGTGTGTGTGCGTGCGTAACGGGTGGGGGGAAACCCCTTGGTCAGTGTGTCAGCTGATGATGTTGCTGCTGCTGTGACAGAGAAACAGGACGTAGCTTTTCATTCATCTGCAGACAGAGACAGGGGGTGAGACAGAGGGTGAGACAGGACTGAAACATGATGCAGTAGTATTTTTAGATCTGATTTTAGTTCAATTTGTACGATTAGGTGCAAAGTTTTAAACATGCAGTATGAAAATAAAAGAGCAAAAATGACTAAAAGCAAACATAAGAAAATCATTTAAAAGGTGTTGACACTCGTTTAAAGGTTACAGTACATGATCAAATAGGGGTTTCATTTATCTTGAAAACGAGTTCTTTTCATCAGCTTGAATTTTTAACCAGAAATGAAACGGTTCATTTTAGTGAAGCTCCACCCATACCTGCTCCAACACCCACAATGTCTTTAGGAGTCTAGTGTTTGAAGAGCCTGCCTTTGACCTCATTTTGTCATGAACTGATGCCGGTTTGACTACCGGTGGTGTCAGCAGTAATTTATTTAGCTAGCTGAAGCACATTTAATCTTTTTTATACTTTAGTTTTATTGTTTTCTGCAAAGTTTTTAGTGTCTCTAAAGAACTTTAGAAGAATTTGGTCGTTTCAAAGCAGCATTTTAGTTGATTTACTCTGCTCGCCTCACACGGACTCACACTGGGTAAAGAAAAAAGAAAAACACAGACTAGTTCTTATATTTTAAACAGTTTACCAATAAAGGGTTGAAGTCATCATACTGGCCATCGTAGCTGAGAAAAAAGTTACACACTGCAAAAACCACTTTTTTCTATTGGTTGTCTAATAGGACTTTAAAAATGTATCATTAGATTATTTTGCTATATTTAAGAATACCTATTGGCAGATCTTTTTTTTTTACTAAAAACAAGAACATTTTATCATATTTAAGAATAGGTACCTTATTTGAAGTAGAGCTGTTTTTGCAGTGTAAGAATCTT